TCTGGGCCACTTCACTTATCACACAATCCAGGTCATGTACATGGCATTTTATTCCTCCTTTATGACCAAGAAGTCCTCTGTGCTGTATATATTCCACAGTTTCCTGACCATCAATTTGTCTTATGGCCATTCAGACTGCCTTCACAACTTGGCTGTTATGGGTTGTGTGTGGATGAGATTTTTCAAACAGTGATCGGAAAACAGGTATCTTATCACCAAATGGTCAAAGGCAAGTGTGCTGAATGCTACATAGCTTATCAATAAACTTACTCCTCTGTTAACTTTATCTATTTAGAAATTAATTTTCATAAATATGTGAGAATGACAGTTTGAATTGAGTAATTAATAAGATATAGATTGCTTTCTCAAAGTAAGTAAAATCTCCTCCCTTAGAGGTAAAAAAGCACTTATGCAGAAATATGTACCTTTCTATGAAATATTTAGTTTGTGATAATCTGTAAAAAGTCGCATTGAGGGCTGCGGATGTAGCTCAATGGTAAGACATTTACCTATTGATCCCAGCACTTAAATATAACAGCAGTAACAGTCTTGACAACCAAATAAAATGCATCGATTAAGAGGTAAGTTCCTTTATACAATGTAATAGAATCTATACTGTATGAGTCATAGTCATATCGTTTCCTGAGACATTGGAAGACATTTAATAAAAACTAATAACAGAACATAAGAGCTGATTCTTGCTATTTGTAAATGGAATATCATTTCCATATTGTCACCTCTTTGGTGAAATGTAGATTTTTTTTATTCTTTGTTTTAATTTGAACTTGTTTGTTTGTTTATTTATTTATTTTGAGACAGGGTTTCTATCTGTAGCTCTGGCTGTCCTGGAACTCTCTATGTTCTATGACCAGGCTGGCCAAGAACTCAAGAGATCTGCCTAGCTCTGCCTCCTGAGTGCTGGGATTAAAGATGTGTGGCCAGCCTGAACTTGTCTTTTAGGAAAAAAAAAAGAGTTCCTGGGATACAAAAGAGTATTTATATTAAATATTCTAACACCTAAGAACACTAAGGAAAATGTCAAAGAAAAGTTGTTTAGAGACAGATAATGGTTTGTGCACGCTTGGAGTTAGTAATAAACACATACAACACCATTTTAGGTGAGTTGTAAGATGTGGGTATGTTTGACAGACTTCTTAGCCAGCTCATTTTGAACTTATTTATGCAAATAATATTTCACCAAAAAGGCACCTTTGTGTAAGATTTAGGGACACACATCTACAAATTTCTTTGCAGAACTAGTAGGATTGAGTGGCCTTTGAAATATGTGTCTTACAAAAATAGTTTTATTTTAAACATTGTGTGTGTGTGTGTGTGTTTGTGTGTGTGTGTATGTATGAGAGTACAGTGCCATGGAGTCCAGAAGGGAGTGTCAGATCCTCTGAAGCTTGAGTTATAGGCCATTGTATGTCACCTGATGTGCCAGGAAATCAACCTGGGTTCTCTGCAAGAGTAGTCTGTGCCCTTAACTGCTAAGCATTTCTTCAGCTTCTGAATCATGTATCCTGAAGTTGCATGCCTCATGGATGAATAATTTCATGCTGTTGTTAAGCCCTTTAGTGTTGTGGCTTTTGACTTCTTACATTATCTAATTACTTTACATGGAACTTAGGATTGATTTCAGCAACTCCAGGAAGAATCAGAATACAGGGGAGAAAAGTATCCCCCAGTTATCCTCACCAACAGCCTCAAAATACACATGCACATGCACAAAGTAGACACCTAAATCATGAAGTCCAGTTAAAAACAAGAACTACTTGCTCAGTAGGTAACAATGCTTACTGCCCAAGCAGAGGACCAGAGTTTGGATTCCAGCACCTAAGCTGGGTGTTTCTGTACTAGCTGGTAGCCACAACAGCAGAAGATAAGTTGAAGATAGAGACAAGAGACCTGCTGGGGTCTGTTGACCAGATATTCTAACTAAAACATGGTGTGTGTATGTATGTATGTATGTGTGTGTGTGTGTGTGTGTGTGTGTGTGTATGTATGTGTGTGTGTGTGTGTGTGTGTGTGTAGTCCCATGGAGTCCAGGTTTAATAAGAAACCCTGTCTCACGGTAGTGATAGAGCAGGACACATGACATCTTTCTCTGGCTTTTGTACATGTACATTGGCACGCACAGATTCCCTCTATAGAACCGAGTTAGGTGTGGTGGCAAACACTTGAAATGCCAGACTTAGGGAGGTAGAAGCAGGAGGATCAGGCATTTAAGACGAGCCTTGGCTATGCAGTATGTTTTCATTTGTGACCAGCCTAAGCTACATGAGTACTTGTCCTAAAAAAAGGCAACCCAAACCAAAATACAAAATCCCAGGTTGGAGAGATGGCTCAGCAGTTAAGAACGTTGGCTGCTCTTCCAGAGGTCTTGAGTTCAAATCTCAGCAACCATACAGTAGCTGACTCAAAACCATTTATAATGGGAGCTATGCCCTCTTCCAGTATACAAGCATATACGTAGATGGAACACTCATATACATAAAAAATACATAAGTAAGTTAAAAAAAAACCCACAAAAATCCTGACCAAACAGTCATCAGAAAAAGAAAGGGGTGGGAGTGGAGGTGGGGGATGGGGATGGATTGAGAAAGAGTTCTGAAAAACAAGGGAATTCTGCAAAAGTCTTTACAAACGTCAGCCGATTTCAGGAAGGGTGAAGTAAATCTTAAGCTGTTGCTAAAGTGCTTATGGCAGCAGAATAGACCTATCTCGTTCCCGTTCCTGCAGCCCACGATCCTTTTATTACAGGTTGTGAGGCAGAAGGGAGAGCTTCAGAAGGTCTGTGGAAATGCCACAAACTGTATTAAAGATGACTTTTGCAGAGCCTGATCTGCTTCTGCTAGATAAGATTTAATGCATGTGTTGCAAGGCAGATGGATTTGTGGACGGAATTCTCCTACCATTATGTTAGGGCCTATGATGGAAATAGTCAGTGCATGTAAAGAATCTGGCTTACAGACCAGTACTGTTGAATTCAACTTCCTGTGATGATAGAATGTTGCTTTTTTTTTTCCAATATAGTTGTCACTAGCTATGAGTGCCCATGGCCACTAAGCATTTCAAATGTGTATTGTGTAACTGAGCCAAGTGAGCAACTTGAACTTTAAATTGTCTTCTCTTTTGATTAATTTGAATTTAAATAGCATTTAAAAAACAAGTGCTTACAGTATTGGACAGTGCCTTTCTAGATCCTCATCATCCTCTTTTGGAATTTAAAAGAAAATGTATGTGTTGTCTTAGTCAGGGTTTCTATTCCTGCACAAAAACATCATGACCAAGAAGCAAGTTGGGAAGGATAGGGTTTATTCAGCTTACACTTCCACATTGCTGTTCATCAGCAAAGGAAGTGAGAACTGGAACTCAAGCAGGTCAGGAAGCAGGAGCTGATGCAGAGGCCATGGAGGGATGTTACTTACTGGCTTTCTTCCCCTGGCTTGCTCAGCTTGCTTTCTTATAGAACCCAGGACTACCAGCCCAGGGATGGCCCCACCCACAATGGGCTCTCCCTCCTTGATCGCTAATTGAGAAAATGCCTTGCAGCTGGATCTCATGGAGGCATTTCCTCAAGGGAGGCTCCTTTCTCTGTGATAACTCCAGCTTATATCAAGCTGACACACAAAAGCAGCCAGCACAAGTATATAGGTGCTTTGCCTGCTTGTTTGTCTGTGCCGTACATAAGTGTCTTCTGCCTGAGGAGGCTAGAAGAGTGCTTTGGATCCACTGGAATGGAAATTACAGTGAGCAGCTATGTGGGTACTGGGAAACAAAAGAGTCCACTGGAAGAGTAGCCAGTGCTCTTAACCTCGAAGCCATCTCTCCAGCCCCATCACTACCCTTTAATTGACTTAGATACAGATGTAGCTTGATAATATTTATTTATTTATTTATTTATTTATTTATTTATTTATTATTTTTGCGGAGTTTTCCTATGTAGTCCAGGCTGACCTCAGACTCACAATCTTCCTCCCTCCCTCTCTCAGCCTTTTGAAGCCTGAGATTACGGGAATGTCTTATCATGCCTCTTTGAAATGTCACCTAGTACTTCTAGATCATCCATGAATATATGGTAACTATTTAACTGTTTGCTCAAACTGGTATCTATTGAGGAAGTCTGGTGGTTCTTTCTACAGTTACAGTGTAATGTGGGATATACCCTATGACCATTCAGGTCCAATAGGAATCACCCTTTATGTAGGGCAATTAACCTTTACTGCACTTAGTTTTGTCTGTGGATACAGATCATTTAAGCATCTTCTAAAAGCATATATGTTTTCATAACATTATAGTTTTCTTTACCACCACAAGTATTTACTGGTAACTAATTTCTGCTTGGCCACTATTTCCCAGTGAAATCACAAAGGCACATCTAACATCATGCTAAATGACCAACTCAGACTATCAGCAAACATTTAATTGCACTGATGTGGGCTGGAGTTGATATGGGCCCTCTGTTAGCTCTTTGCCATTGTAGAGAAACCACGTTACAAGTTCCTGTGTATGAGCAATTACTTTTCAGAATAGAAAGAGTCACTGCACAGTGCCTCAGGCTTCCCATGGTCAAAGCTCAGTCTTATTTCAAGTAGCCCAGAGGGTTTTTCTTTTGGTACAAAATATGAAACATATATGATTGAATAAAAGGCATGAAATAATTTTTAAAAAATCCAGTTGCATCAAGAAACCAAATGCCCCTAAAGCAACAAATACAACACAGTACATTAGCTCTTGCATGTCTCTGGGGTTGCTTAAGTTTTCAAATCCCACCCACTTTAAAAACATATTTTATGTTGCATTTGGTACAGTTCCTTATGAAGACAAACCATAGTTAGTGAGTTAAGAGGCATGTGGGTGAATACACCAAAGGGAAACAGTTATTCCAGGAAGCTTATCTGGTGGAAAAATAACAGAGAAAACCAAATAGCTCCCATGGTAATTCAAAGAATCAGAGATGTGCCAAACTCATGGTTTTGTTCACAGGATTTACCCACCTGATCGCTCGGATGACAGTTTTAAGTGGTGGGGTGAGGTCCTCCACAGACACGTCACATTGGCATCCTTTCTCATCATATACATCGTCAATACCAAGGGCTGTGTCAGCTGCAAGAGACGAACACAACTTAATACTGCCAGTTTCTGGTTAGGCCATATTGGGTTGTTTGTCTCACCTAGGAAAGGTGGGGGCATTTGCAGACTGAGCATGTAATGAACTGATGAGGTATACGCCCAGCCATTTGTGTTGTCAAGTCCTTCTACAAACTCATCCATATCTTTGGTGATTTGGCACGGATATTTTCCTGAGTGGTTCTCTACCCGGAGGATGGTGGTGACGAATTTGTGTTGGATCCGCTTGTGCTTTTCGCCCTGGTCCTTGAAAGCTAATAGCTGTTATTTAAATTGCAGCTGTTTAGAGTCTAGGAGACTGCCTTTGGACTCTTAAATTCATTAGTCTGGCTATACAGAGCTCAAATCCCATGACACGGACCTCATTAGCCTCATCGCTGAACCAGTTACTTAAGCAGCAGACCGGAGAAGGCTGGCTACTTATTGCTTGCTGGCCTGGCAATGGTGGGGTCATGAGAGCACATCCTTAAGCAGATACAGTCAAAGCTAAGAGAAGACCAGTTTGCATATGAAAATCAGTTCTGCATACACGAATCAGACTCACTTTTTTGGTTAATTGTAACATTTGGAAATGTGCGTCTATTATTACCCCTGGGTTTTCACAGTGTGGGAGTAAGGTACAGAAGACTATGAAGCTTCTCCAAGGACACAGGAAGATGAAAAGGATAGAACCAGAGCTGTTCATCTGCGACCCCAGCTTCTTCTGACCTCTTCCCATGTATCCCTTCTGTCTGTCCTCTTGGCCTCTGGATTCCCTTCTGTATTACTTTCATACGGCTATGAGCACATACTACATTGACCGAAGATCCAGCTTGGAGCTGGATCTTAGTTACCTTGGCTGTGTGCTGAGGTACTTTATATCCCATAGAGGAGCTCTGGATGTGCATATATGATGGAGCTTCTAGGAAGAGTACACAAGGGGAAGAGAAGATAGATAAACAGGTAACACATGTAGACTAGCTGACAGAGCTAATACCGACATCCTTTGAGATACACAGATACTAGCTACTCAGAGGCAATATCAGATAACACTCTTCAGGGCTTCCAGTATAGAATTCTTGGGAGCATTTGATACTCTTCTTCAAAATTGAGGTACATGACTGCTTTCTCTCATCTGAACTCTAGTGAGAGGTATTAAGCTTCAGAAAACTGGGGACACTGGAGAGGACATGGGGAGGGCAGATAGAGCAATACCCATAGCGATGACCTCTTGAAAAGGTAGCACAATTTTACATTAAGCAGCATAAGATGCAGGGTCATTTGTTTATAAATAAAAATGTTATTGTTTGAGAAATTGTTTACAGGCATTCGATGTGTTAGTTAAGTATGATCCCCTATTCCTTCTATCCCAGTTTTTCCTTGATCCACTATTTTGCCATCCCCTGCTGCCCCTCACACCAACCGCATGTAGTTTTTCCCCATTGCGACCACTCAGTGATCCCAGGATGTATGTGGGTATACTAGGCCATCTCCTGGAGCTCCCAGGGATTACATTCTTGAAAGGAACTGACTTTTCCCTCCCAGAACAGTACATGGGAATTGTCACAATAACCACAAAGTGCAGACAATGAAACCGGTGCTCATGGCTGACTCAAGATGGAGCTGGGACTCTCCCAAATGATCATGTGACAGTTATCTCCTAGGTTACTGCTGTACTTCCTCAACCCCATCCTAGATGTCAAGAAGACACATGGTCCAAGTACCTTGGTGGGAGGAAGTCTAGACTGAAAATGAGAGCCAGACATCAACTATATATATATTCAGATGTGTCTTACTGGGCAGATTTATCATACCATTTTATAACTCAAATATTCAGGCACAAATTCAACAATCATTTCTGCTTTGTAGATTACAGTGTGTGTGTGTGTGTGTGTGTGTGTGTGTGTACATTTATGTGCCACAACACGTGTGTGAAGTCCAGAGGATAACCTGTGGAAGTTGGTTCTTTCCTTCTGCTATGAAGGTTTTGGGAATAAACTCAGGTTGGTAAGTTTGGCAGCAAGCAACCTTTATTGGCTTGGCTACCTCGCCAGTCTTCATTTCTGCTCTTTTGGTAGATTTTGTGAGAACAAATAAATATCAAACATATCTCTGTTGGTGCATGTGAGGCTAGGGAGCTGAATTAGATGTTATTCTCATCCTTATTCCAAAGCCTCCCCCCACAATGGGAAATACCACGTTATTTTGCTTTATTCATATCTTGGGACATCAAGTCTCTTTCTAGTAAAGTTAATTCGTTAAAACTCTTGTGGTTCCTAACAGCTTTGAACCCTGTATGACGTCTGAGCAGATGGGGATCGGTAATCTTCAATGGAGGCAGATCTGTGGTCTCCTCTCACAGGCTGGGCTGTGAAATATTGGTAGAATATTGAGAACATGAGTTCATGGGATTCTCAAAGTGTCTGAACAAAGCCTAGCCACAGTGTTCAAGCATCAGTCAAATAAGATGCTCCAAATACCTTCTTGCTTTGGAAATCTTCCCACCTTGTGCTGTTCATCTCTGGCACAGGAAAAGAAGCAAAAAATACAACTTTTTTTTT